GATATCTTTGATTCTTCAACCGGAATCAGAAAAGCGCGTGCAGATCCGTAAATGAAGCTCACTATAATCTCAATATCCGTCTGAAATAGGCTCTGAAAACCGATCATATACGACTAAAATACGATCGTTTACTATCGTTAATCCTCCGTATACGGTCACGAAGATAAACGATCGTAATACTGAGCCACGTAATACGACGAGATACTGTCGTATACGGACTCCAAATTCGTCTACCTGAGGACGTACCACAATGACTAAGAAAAAATTTAGTTTGAATTAAGCAGTTAAAATGGTGTGGTGTGTGGGTGTGAGTGTGGATGTGAATAAAGAGAAAACCCACACCCACACCCACACTCGCAAGTGTCTGCTTTTGTCGATACACGAGATGAAAATGATGATGTACGTTCACCAATTTTTTTTTCCTTTTTGTCAACTGTGTAGTAGACGTTGGATACTAACAAAGATAAGCATAAACACCCATGTCGTCTCTCTTTTCTTTTCATTCTACATATATTTATATATTAAATATGTTTGTTTTTTTTGCAAACAAATGTACGTATTTTGATATTTATTGGAATCTATATGCTTGATGTAATTGTTCTTACAATTTTTGAAGTGTACGCCATCTTTCGTTCCCGATTTCTTATGGACTGGAGCAGATAAGTGAATAGATGTTTTTGCTTTTCTCTCATATATACGACTAATTAAGTGAGTGTTGTTGGTCGTAGAAAATAATATCGTTTCTTCACGTAAGTATTGACTTCATGTTTTTTTTTTCGAATGGAAAAAACCAAGCAGCGACACTTCAAAGACATTGTTCTTCATTTACGGATCGAATTTTTTTCTTTACAAAAGAAAACAGTTATTCAGATGGACTATCTGTAAACAGATCAACTTTTCATGGCAGAAAAAACAATCAAAGTACGTGTGTCAAACAAGTTTTCATTGCCGGTTGCGCATGGCTCATGTTATTCAAACAATACATTTCATTCTTGTCAGAAGATAAGATGAGACAAGGCAAACATAGTAAATCTATTGAAAAACAAAGACTTCTTTGTTGAGCAATCGAGTTTTCTTGCAACTTTTTTATATGCTCGTCTCTTGTACATTCAAATAAGAGACGAATACTTCCTAAAGAAAACATAATAATCAGTCTTTCTTTCAGATTCTACTAAAATATGTCTGCTATTACGGTATCATATTGAAATTTAATTGTTTGATATTTTTCTGAACGGCTTTTCTAAGCAGACGAATCCACAATTCGCCGAATTTCGTCATGTCACAGTTCGTTATTTGAAACAGTTTATTCGATGTAATGCTTTTGATTGTTAGGATTTGGCTACAGCCGTCAGCTTTTGCTCGATCACCATCACTTGTTTGGAAATTTTATCATTATCGACGAGAACTTATGCGAACTAAAGAACCTAATAAAGTTTCGAGATTCAAAATCTATTTGTCTATGAAATGTATATGATCGATTCTTTTTAGGCTCATTTAGCATTGACCGAAGCTGAAAAACGTTTTGAGGAAGAAGGAAAACATTTTTTTATGTTAACTCAAAATATTGTTGGTCAGTATTTCTTGTAAGAATTGTATGATTTCTTATATTTTGCTTTCTTCCGATTAGGTCTTCATCGACGAGCTGGTTCTCGTAATCTTCTTGAAATACACGATCAGTAAATATTTGAATAATTCATGTTTATTTTTTGAATAAAATACTCTTGAATAGGTAATCTTTTCACGACTCGATGTACATCCTGTGGTTTTATTGAAGAAAACAACGATAGTCCAATTTGTGAAGCTCTACGAAATCGAGGGTAAACATTTTTCTCATTCTTTTCACAATACTGGAATTAATCATGATTAAACATTTTAGATTACCAAATCAGAATGGTCCTGAGATTGCAGTGAAAGATCTTCCTAGTTGTCGTCAATGTCAATCTCTTGTTCGTCCTCATGTCGTTTGGTTTGAAGAATCACTTTGGCCTGACGTTTTGAAAAAAATCGATGAAGAAATCGCTCAATGTGATCTATTCTTAGTTGTATGTCAACATTTTCTTTTCCATTTCATTCGTTTCTATAGAACCTATTGAAGGTGGGAACATCAGCAATTGTCTATCCGGCTGCAGCCTATGCTATGATTGTTGCAAGGCGTGGTATCCCTGTAGCTGAAGTCAATATTGAAAAGACTCCTTCTACTTCTATCTCAACGTAAGTTCGTTTCTCTTGTTTAATATTTTGAATGTCTCTTTGTAGTTTTCATTTCGAAGGT